GTTTGTTTTTTTTTTTTTTGTTTTTTTTTTTTTTTTGCGGTACGTGGGCCTTTCACTGTCGTGGCCTCTCCCGTTGTGGAGCGTAGGCTCAGCGGCCATGGCTCACGGGCCCAGCCGCTCCACGGCATGTGGGATCTTCCCGGACCGGGGCACGAACCCGTGTCCCCTGCATCGGCAGGCGGACTCTCAACTACTGCGCCACCAGGGAAGCTCTATTCCTGGTATCTTTTCTAAATTAAAACAAAAGCTCTGCTGGCAAGCTAAAAGTAATTAACTCAACGTGGAAAAGACCATCCCTTGCTTTTCTTTTCTTTTCTTTTTTTTCCCCCCTCATTCATAGAGTTGCTTAAATTTGGCACTTTGAATTTTTACTAAAATTTCTGTGTTTAGTATAGACTTTTTTTCTTGCATTTGAGGGGTTATAAGAGCTATAAAAAACACTATGTTTGTACATTCTGAAGTTTAGTTCATGTTTACCTCTTTAGGTAATAGAACAGAATTCGACCTGAGTTTTTTTCCTGTTGTTTCAAATAATGGTCCAGTCTGCTACTTGTCTGGGGTTTAGCAGCCCCTTGACCTTGTACATTTTCCCCTCCTTCTTTGGCTTTATAGTTTTTCCAATTAAAAAACTTTTTTATTTCATTTTTAGCCGGAGGAGCATCTCTAGCATGGCTCCCAGCCTGACTTTGTCAGGATCCCAGCCTCTTCTTGGTTTGGTGCCTTGTTTACTCTCTTCCTGATCATATACTGCATCTCCCAGATATTGAGGGGGTCATTTCTACCTTCTGGTTGATTTGGTAAAAGTCATTTATTTCTCTGAATTTTTCTGCTTCTTGATCCACTAGATCTGCATCTAGGAAGGGGAATTATAGGATTGTATACTGTAAAAAATTTTTTTTAATGAAGAGGAACTTAATTGGTACCCAGAACACACAGGGCTTCAGCTATATTAAATATTTATTAATAGACTGGATTTTTAGTAGCATTAGGATGCTGTATGAACCCTTCAAATTCTCCTGTTTTTCTATCTTATTTGCGTTCCATATTGGCCTCTTTTCTTACACTTGTAGGCAGATATTTTACAACTTTCTTGCAAGTTCTTTTAAATTTTTCTCCTTTCTTTCCTCTGTTAAGGGGAGGAGGGGGGCTTTCCCTTGGCTTCCATGAGGCTCTTTGGACCAAGCCTTAGCCACCTCCTTTATCAGCTGTAGGTTCTCTAACCTCCTGCTTGTTTTCTTAGAGATTAAATCTTCCTCTCCAGGTGACTTCAGAGAAACAGCCCTTCCTTGGTGTTTTGCCCTTTGAATACACCTTTCTACTCTTGATGGGGAAAATACTTTATGATTCACGATGTAGCAGATTCTTTTGTTTAATAGTTAGTAACCCATCTATTTTTGTTTTGGGTACTCTTCCTCTTTCATAGGAATTACTGGTTTCTAGGGTTGGGAAGGACTAAAAAATTATCTACTCCAACTCTTCTCATTTAACAAATGAGAAACCAGCCCAGAGAGGATCAGTACCCTGTTCAAGAAAACCCAGGTTCTAGTTAACTCAGAATTGTTTCATTGTGCTTGGGTGGCTTTATTGCCTAAGGCAGTAGGTCAAGTAGATAGGACAGAGGAGCATCCTGTATGTATTCTCCTATATTCAGTGCTTTTAATGTATATGCTGCTGAACGTGATGCCTTAAGTCATTTAAAATGCCAAGGCATTAATTATGATTTTTATGAAATGCCCGCAAAGCTTAACATGGCAGGCTTTATAGAGCACGTGTAATTTAGAGTGTCTCACTCCTGTACGACTTTGGAAGCTGCTCCTTGAATTTGGAGGGAGGTTCTAAGAACAGAAGTGTCTTAGGTGTCAACGCCATCGAGCGCTGCCCCTGGAAGGCAGCCCCAACTGCAGTCTTCCTCCCCCAGGTCAGCTCGCACATTCACACCCAGGACACGTCTGCCGGGTGTGTGAAAGGTCTGCCCCTGCAGACCCTCGAGGGTCGACAGAGAGACCACTCTCAAATAATTTTCAGGTGTGAACAAAGAAGGACGACTAGGTGATAGATGGGTGGACTGTTAAGTGGTGCTGGGCGTCCTTGCGTGAGAAAGGTGAGGCTGGGGGGAAGTGTCTCCAAGTTCTAAAGTTTGTTTCTGTAGGACTAGATTTGAGTGAGGAGTGAGCTAATCATCAAATTATTAGAAATTCAAGAAGAGGTTAGAGAGGCAATTTACATAGGGAGGTCGGTTTTTCAGACGGTTTATCTTTCATGTCATTTGTTAAACAAATGTAAGTGTACTTAAATTGAATTTCCAGGAGACAAACACACTAGGTGGTTGGCCTTCTCTGTAGCCTCCAGGAACGTTCAGTGCCTCTGTGTGGTCAGGACACAGTGGCTGTGGCTTTGGAGCCAGAATTCATTCGTTCCTCTGGGTCCCTCTGTCGATGGCATATAGGATTAGATAGCAAAGATTTCTTCCACTGGGTATTGGGGATGGGTGGGAACCTCAGAATCCAGCGTGCGGGGGTCCTCTCAAGGCCAGCAGTCGTAGGGTCTTGCTGTGCTGCTGGCCTTGACGTGGCCCCATGGTCCATTGGTCTCACCACAGCCTGGAGTCTGGATGTTCATTCTTAGAAACTTGAAAGATGCTCAAAAAATAGTCCATTGGAGTTTTATTTTTCTTCTTCATGATCTTCTTTCTCAAATATATAAAAATAATTGGATCTGTTACAAACAGAAAAAACCCACACGCTTAAAAAAGCTATTAAGAACCTTAAAGGGCTATTTGTTCATTCTGCCCAGTTTTACACAGTTAAGTTATACATGTTTAGTGGTCTCGTGCTAACGACTCTGTGTTTCTTTTCTAACAGATGTGTGCATTGCAATGTTGTGTACTCTGATGTGGCCGCACTGAAGTCTCACATTCAGGGTTCTCACTGCGAAGTCTTCTACAAGTGTCCTATTTGTCCAATGGCGTTTAAGTCTGCCCCAAGTACGCATTCTCATGCCTACACGCAGCATCCCGGCATCAAGATAGGAGAGCCAAAGTAAGTCATGCTGCCTTTCGACTTTTACCCCGCTCCTTTATTAGTAATTTAGAAGAGGTGGTAGTTCTGTGGGATATAATTTAAGATATGACAAATTATGCCACTGTGCAGATTTTTTTTTTTTTTTTTTTTTTTTTTTTCCTTGCGTTATGCGGGCCTCTCACTGTTGTGGCCTCTCCCATTTGCGGAGCACAGGCTCCGGACGCGCAGGCTCAGTGGCCATGGCTCACGGGCCCAGCCGCTCCGCGGCATGTGGGATCCTCCCGAAACGGGGCACGAACCCGCGTCTCCTGCATCGGCAGGCGGACTCTCAAGCACTGCGCCACCAGGGAAGCCCCACTGTGCAGATTTTGATGCTCATAACTCCCTAAACCTTTCAGTACTGCCCAGGGGGAGCTCTTTGCCCTAAAATGTCACTTACTATTTATGCTCTTGTCATCAGTTTTTGCTAAACAAGTGAATGTTTATCATTTTTGTTCTTTTTCTTAAGATGATTTTGTTCTTTTTCTTAAGATGATTGTAATAGGTTCTTGGAAGACTGTAAAAAACTGTCCTCTTTCAGTTTTCATAGTATCTTACACACTTTTCATAGTAACATTTATAAGATGAAGTCAACTTAAGACACTGGTTCCTGCATTTAACTTCATAGCCGGTGTAAATCCTTGATTAGTAAAAAGTAAATTTCATTTTTTGCTTGATCTCGCTCTTAATTTTGTCAGTGTTTGCCTCGTTGAATCTTTAATCCTGAGGTGGTGTTTCAGCAGGCAGTTACAGGCTGCCCGCCTGCGGTGGTGGCCAGCTTCGCAAAGACGAGGCAGTGAGGGCGCTGGGGTCAGAATCCTGCCGCCACCCACCAGCTGAGTGACCGTGGGCCGGCACTGACCCCTGTAAAGTGAGGGTCATGCTTCTGTCCCTGGGGTTTGTGTGAGGATAAAGCAGGGTGAGGTCTTTAAAATGCACGCCACGTGGCCCCTCTCTCTGGCACACGGAGGGCCCGTAGCCTCGGCACCTTCCCTGCTTCCTTGGTCCCTGGATGTGCACACAGCCCTGGATCAGATGCCCGGCCTGATGTTCACTTTCTTCCTGTGTTGTTTGCGGCAGTGTGGAACTTGATAATTATGTGAGGCTAGATTTGCTGCCTCAAACCTATTGGTGTGTTTTGTCTAAAACTCTATAATCAAGGAAGTATTGGGGAAGATATGTGGATATGCCGTATTATGTATGTCTGGCTTTCATGTAACATTTAGTTTGGGGGAAATGTCATTGGCTAAACACAATAGAATTGACTCTGTTTACTAAAAAACCATGAGAAAATGGAATTTTATTCTAATAGGACCTTCACTCTGATCTTTGTAGATCTTCAAAATGAAACACATTACAAATTAGGGGATCCACATACGACTTGGTGTCTTGACTCCGAAGACAGACATGAGTGAAACGTCAGTTAAACAGCCTTCAGTGTTCCTGGTCATCAGCCTTTCGGACACTAGCATAGTCTGCCCTACCCCCTACTCTCTCCCCCCACAACCCCCCAGTGAATACAGTTTTTGACTTGGTTTTTTTATTCAAGTAAATAAAACTTTATTCACTGGAATGTGCGTGAAATCTGGAACAGTAGTTGTTACCTGGGAATACAGCACAGCAAACGATTAAAGTAAACTAAAACAATATTCCTCAAATTTGAGTAATGTATAGGGAAAAAATCATTCCAGTATTTTCTTAAAAACTTTTCTCTACTACAGTGGTTTTTTAACAAGTGCAAGCCCAAAGATAGGCATTAACGATTGAGTTTTAAGCTATAAAACTAAAACAAATTTACAAGTAAAACACAACAAAACTCCCAGACCAGTGAACACAGCTAACAGCATTAATTCAGGGTAATGAGTCAAGTCCTCACTGCAGCAGCAGATGCTGCTCCTCGGGCCCTGTGGTTGTCACCCTGTACTACAGGTGCCACCTTTCCCTATGCGCACTCTATAAAGCCTGGCTTCCTGTGCCATGCTGGAAGCTGCTTGGCCTACATTTGACCCAGAAGCTTTCGTTCGACATTAGATCTCTGTTCTGTTAAAGTTATAGCCCCACGTAAATAAGTAGCTCCCATACCAGTAGAACATCAGGCATGAAATCTCCCAGCAGTCTTTGGTTAACTGGTTTTATGCAAATGACTCAAAATCTTTGGTTAAGGTGGTTTTATGCAAATGACTCAAAATTATGCAGATGATTTACGTTAATTTTTAAAGATCAATATAAAAATCCCATCTCCCGTTTCCTTTAGAGAATATATGGAAGTCTGAAAATACACCCATGAAGACCTGCAGTCCCAGCACCTCCACTTGAAAAGCACAACATAAGATTTTTATTTCACAGATGTTTATGTAGTGATTATTATGTGCAGGTACCATTCCAGTGCTTTGTTTTCCAGTGTGTGGTCAGGCATGTTTCCCTGCTGTGTCAAAGGGAACTTTGAACACCCTTTAATCTTTTCTGGGTAATTTAAGATCATTTTGAATGTCCACTACTTGATTTTATGGTGATACAGTCTTGTGACTGTTTTTATATCTTCCTCGACGTCTGATTAACCAGCCGTTTCCTGGCTGCTTTTCCCTTCCTTCCATTTGCCTCTTCTAAATGTATATAAATAGAGCAATGAGGACTTCAAAGTGAAGAATTGTATGAGACGGAGTTGTTCTTTTTTTGTTTCGTTTTGTGTTTTTAAAGAGTCTGAGTGCCCTCATCCATGACACTCCTGGGTCTCCTATCATCAGTGCTCAGCTGATTGCTATGTGATTGTATATGGGCCCTGAATCCAGATCATTTGCTCTGCCATTTACTGGCAAGTTGTTTAATTTTTTATGTCTCAGCTTCTTTTCTTTTCTTTCTTTCCTTTTTTAAAAAAAGATTTATTTATTTGGTTGCGCCGGGCAGGCTCCTTAGTTGCGGCTCGCCGGTTCCTTAGTTGTGGCGTGCATGCTCCTCAGTTGTGGCATGTGAACTCTTAGTTGTGGCACATGGGATCTAGTTCCCTGACCAGGGATCCAACCCAGGCCCCCTGCATTGGGAGTGCAGAGTCTTAACCACTGCACCACCAGGGAAGTCCCAAGAGATGGAGTTTTGGAGCAAGTTCCTAAGAAATAAAACAGTACAAAACTACAGTAGCGGCATGGTGGAGGACTTTGATTCAGACGAAGCTGAATTTAAAGCACGGCCCTGGGATTTGCACAGCATCAAGCAGATTCTCTGATCTCTGAGCCCGTATCCCAGCTGTGAGGGGGCAGTGGTGCAGATTCACGTAATTGGAGGTGTGGGGACGTGTCCTACTCGGACGGTGCCTTGTACCTGGCTGTACTCACTCAGTGGTGATGGAGGCAGTTGGCAGCAATTCTGAGCTGAGAATCCTTTACTCATGTGTTTTTACATTTGTTTCAAGGGTAGCACTCTGTCCTGACTGAGGGTGGGTTTTTGGATTTACTTTTTCTTTCCCACCTCCTATTTTCCTTCCCCTACCTTCCATCCCCTGCCTCCCCACCCCTGCAGGTTTTTTTCAGCCACCTCCTCCCTCCTTTGTTCTAGTGCAGTTATCCTGCCATTCACTCAGTCTTGCAGTTGGGTCAGGTCAAACTTTTAGGTTCATCTTTCAAAGTACCTCCCCTGCATCCAGCCACACTGTCCCCAGCGTGCTGTGCCCGTGTAGACTCTGCCTTTGTGCGCACTGGTCTCCCCGTCTTTTTTTAAATAAATTTATTTATTTATTTATTTATTTAGGGCTGCGTTGGGTCTTCGTTGCTGCATGTGGGCTTTCTGTGGTTGCGTCGAGCGGGGGCTACTCTTCGTTGCAGTGAGCGGGCTTCTCCTTGCGGTGGCTCCTCTTGTTGCGGAGCACGGGCTCTAGGTGCGCGGGCTCGGCAGTTGTGGCTCACAGGCTCTAGAGTGCAGGCTCAGTAGTTGTGGCGCACGGGCTTAGTAGCCCCGCAGCATGTGGGATCTTCCCAGACCAGGGCTCGAACCCTTCTCCCCTGCCTCGGCAGGCAGATTCTTAACCACTGCGCCACCAGGGAAGTCCTGGTCTCCTTGTCTTGAACAAAAGCCCTCCCTCCTCTCTGCCTGCCAGTCTCCCTGTGGTTCTTTCCTGCACTGTAGCAATAGTTGGAGAGTCTGCTCTGTGGTCACGGCCTATCACTATGTCTGTGAAGTTCGTGGTACCCTTATTTGGAGTTTTCTTTTTTGACATTAGCACCAGATTTTAATTTTTTTTTTTTCCGGTATGTGGGCCTCTCACTGCTGTGGCCTCTCCTGTTGCGGAGCACAGGCTCCGGACGTGCAGGCTCAGCGTCTCAGCCACTCCGCGGCATGTGGGATCCTTCAGGATCCCCTGCATCGGCAGGCGGACTCTCAACCACTGTGTCACCAGGGAAGCCCCCAGTTTTTAATTTTTTAATTGTTTCTGTCTTACAGAAAAGTTGAAAGAGCACTGTGGAGAACTCGTGTGTCCCCTTCACCCATATCCCCCAGTTGTTAGCATTTCTGACATCCTTTCATTTTCTTCTTTCTGTATCTCTCCCTGTCTCCTATTTAGGAATAATGGGGCATCGTGACATAAATATTTGAGCGTGTCCTACCTCTCCTCCCCAGAAGGACACTCATGTATGTTATTGCTACCATCTAGCCTCCCAACCAGGAACCAGCGTGGATTACATTACCAGCCAGTTCACAGATCCCATGAAAATTTCTCCAGTTGTTGAGATATTGTCTTTTTTTTTCCTTTCTTTCTGGTACAAAATCTAGTCCAGGAGCACATTTTGCATTTAATTGTCCTGTCCCATCAGCGTGCTTCCATCTGGAGCAGTTGCTCAGTCTTTTCCCCTCTCATCCAGCAGAGGATACCGGTCTTGTGTTCTGAGGATGACCCTCCTTCCCGGCCCGGCCCCGCTTTCTCATAGTTGGACTCAGGATACATACTCAGGCAGGAATCTCCTCATCAAATCCCATCGAGGATGCTCACTGCCTACCTGTCCTTCTAGGGATGTTACCCTCCATCATCTAGTCCAGTTGGCAGCGGCCAGATTTCTACACTGTGAGGTCACCATTTCCCCCCCCCCCCCC